ATAGGCACCAGAGAAAATATAATTTTTTAGTACATTTTTTCATCCCCAAATCTTAAAGCTCAAGACGCAGAACAGAAGCAGCCCTACTTTCATTTTGTACAGGATGAAGAGACACCGTGGCTTGCTCAGGGTGGGCAGTGAAGCACAGGCACAGGAGGATGAAGCCAAAGTCCCTGGGATGTCCCAGCTGGCTTTGGAGCTGAGCAGGTGCCACCTGAGTCACCTGTGACAGGAGCACCTTGGAACCCCAATGCACAGAGCCCTGGAGCTGGGAAATCAGTTCTTGCAGAGAATGGGAATGCCAGAGGGAGCAGGGCTGAGAAACACCTCTGAAAATCCAGCATTGCCTCACTGGGGCCCACAGCCTCCAGGGGAGTATTAATGTGCTTTAATATTTCTGCAGGAGGAGGAGGGGGAGGAGGAAGGCACCTGGAGCATCCTCTCTGCTGCTGGGGGAGAAATCTTCCCCCCAAATCATTCTTCTAATGGAGAATGCTGGTTCAGCTCTCTGCCAATATGATGTTTTCATCATCACCTCTTTTTGGAGGGAAATGGAGCATTGAACTGCCTTGCTTTCAAACAGCTTTGTTGTCCAGAGCAGCTGGGGCTGCCCCTGGATCCCTGGCAGTGCCCAAGGCCAGGCTGGACAGGGCTGGAGCACCTGGGATAGTGGGAGGTGTCCCTGCCATGGCAGGGGGTGGCACTGGATAATTTTAAGGATACTTCCAACCCAAACCAGTCCGGGATTCTATGACCTTTCTTTAGAAGGCATTTCATGCAGCCATTTAAATATTTTTTGGTTTTTTTCAAGGAGACTTCTTTTTCTTTTCAATTGCTTTCATTGCTTTCATTTTATACCCCATTATAAATTCAAGCACAATATTAAATGCACTGAAATAAAAATTTCAATTTTCTCTATATTAAAAAGCTGTTTAACTGAGCCAAAGCTACTTTGGAAGTGATCAGATTTAATTTCAGGGGAAAGATCAACATTTAACATTCAGTTGCATGTTTAGAAAGGTGGACTTTAGGTAGCTGAGCTCTCTATGCTTATGGGAGGTCTGTGTCTCCACTTTGAAGCCACTGGCAGTCAAAATTTAAGTGACAAGAGAGTCCAAAAAGATTGGGGGAAGCCTGAGAAATGGAGGGGGAGTTACAGATCACAATTAACTTAACGAAAGTCCTTCTTCCAGGAGTCATTGTGCTTGGCCCAATGCTCCTGTTGTCCTTTCTGCCTTCAGAGCCCACTGCAAGAGCAGCATCCAGCGAGATCCCAGTGGGCCATTGATGGGACATTTCAATGTGCTCAATGCAACCACAGAATGATCTGCAGCCGAGCCAGGGAAGGATCTGGAGCAGCTGAGGGAGCTGGGAAGGGGCTGAGCCTGGAAAAAAGGAGGCTCAGGGGGCCCTTGTGGCTCTGCACAGCTCCTGACAGGAGGGGACAGCCCAGGGGACAGGGACAGGAGAGGGAACGGCCTCAGGCTGGGCCAGGGCAGGTTGGATTGGACATCAGGGAAAATTTCTTCACTGAAAGGAGTGCACAGCTGCCCAGGGCAGGGCTGCAGTCCCCATCCCTGCAGGGGTTTAAAAGCCCTGTGGATGTGGCACTTGGGGACATGGTCAGTGGTGGCCTTGGCAGTGCTGGGTCAACTCAGCTGGACTCAATGGAATCAGAGGACTTTTCCAATCTATGGACTGCAGCCATCATTGCCTCATTGATTTTTTTTTTTTCTTAATCCTTTTTCTCTTCAAGCCCAGAGGGGAACATCAAAAGAATAACCTGGCAGAAAAAAAGAAAAAACACAGCGATTTCCAGGGTTAAGGAGAGGGCTCTGGCTCAGGGCCATGGGGACCATGTACTCAGCCACATGGGGGACCAAAGCACCTCATTGTCTTTGTAAAACACCCCAGGGCTGTGCCTGTGAGGTCAATCCTGCCTTTCTCATTGCAAACCCTTTACCTGGGCTGTGCTCCCGGGAGGGCTCAGGTGGGGCTGTGGAAGCAGAGGGGCGCACACAGGTCGGGACCCTCCTTCATCCCTTTTTCTTCCTCGCATAGAGCCGTTTCCCGGTGTTTCGGGGCGGGATCCCGAGCACTGCAGCGAGTGCTGGAGACACAAGAGGGCAGGCACAGGCTGTGCAAAGGAGAGAGGACTCTGCACAGCCTGTGCTTGCCCTCTTCCCAGGCAGCCTGGCCCTCTTCCCTCCATCTCTGCAAAGGGGTGGAAAACAGGGATACGGCTTCTGGCCCTGCCTGGCACGTCTGCTGAAGCAAAATTGCAGCAGCATGTTCTGCGAGGAACATCCAGGGGCTGAGGCTCAGCTATGAGCTCCCTCAGCAGCTCCACCTGTCAGGGATGCTCCCATTCCCAGGCATTCCCTAGTGCAGGTGTCCTTAGCTGGGCTCTGCCACTTCAGATGGCAGGGGCTTCTTGGGACCAAGCTGCCTTTCCTCCCTGCTTTATGGGACCAGCCAGGCTGCCTTTCCTTCATGTTTTATGGGACCAGCCAGGCTGCCTTTCCTCTCCCCTGCTTCATGGGACCAGCCAGGCTGCCTTTCCTCCCTTTGGCTTCATGGGACCAGCCAGGCTGTCTTTCCTCCCTTTGGCTTCATGGGACCAGCCAGGCTGCCTTTCCTCCCCTGCGTGTCCCTTAGAGGAGATGTTCACATGGGTGGCCAGAGGGGCCATCAGCCCTTAGCAGCCCTTGTTTCCCATGTCCCTCAGCCTTGCTGGTGTCAGCCCACAGACCATCCCCAGGCACTGCTTTCCTTGGCTCCCAGAACACGGTGGCCCATGGCAGCTCTTGGGCACAGCCTGAGCCACCAGCCCTCACCAGAGTGGCACAGTGCCCAGGACTGCTGGGGCTGCCCCTGGATCCCTGGCAGTGCCCAAGGCCAGGCTGGGCAGGGCTTGGAGCAGCCTAGGACAGTGAAGGTGGGGTGGGATGAGATGATTCCTTCCAACCCAAACCATTCCATAATTCTGTGGTTTGTCTCCCTGGTTTGTGCCCATCCCCAGGGGCAGCACAGCCCGAGCCGGTGCCCAAGCCGGTGCCAAGCAGCTCTGCTGGGCACGGGGCTGTTCCCTCCAGGCTGCCAAAGCTCCCCGCACAGTTCAACAATGAAAGGCAGCAGATGGTTTATGGTGTGAATTACAGCAAACGGCATTGCAAAGGCAGCACTAACCGGGAGCAAATGAAAGCCTTAACGGGGAACAAATGAAGGCATTAACACACGGCCGGCCAGCGCAGGCGTGGGGAAGGGAGGGGGATTTGCAGATGGGCTGGGAGTGCCCATTCTAGCCAGGGATTTTTAGAGGGGAAGGGTATTGTCCCCTGACCATGCAGAGGAGACCGGCAGTGAGGTCTGGAGCCAGGAGCAAGGGTGCTGTGGCCACTCTGCTGCTTTCATTCTGAGCCATAGCTTGTTTGGGTGTGCTCAGCTCTGCCTTTTCCACTCTCCTGGAAAGGTGCAAGAGGTTTGTACATCTGTCCTTGTCTGAATTTCTGTGTAATGCAGAAGGAACACAGCTGTGTTTAGTCACCAATGGACTGTACTGAGAGCCTGGCTTCACTCACAGGCACAGGTGCAGGAGGAGGGACCATATTTTGCATTTCAGGGCTGATGTGGATTTGTACAAGAGCAAACCAGACTCTGAAGGCAGCTCCTGCTCCCTCTGCACCCCAGCCATTCATGACAACAGAGTGCTGGAGCCTTCTGGCTCTGGAAGGAGGCTGCAGCTTCAGGGCAACCACCTGGTACAAAAAGTCCTCCTGGGAAAACCATCCCGGGGCTCCCAAGTCCTGTGTCCCCTCTTTGCCTCAGATACCCTGGTGTAAAATAGAGAAAGTAGTGTTGTAGCAGGGCTGGTATGGGTAGCTGAGACTGAGGGATATTCCCATAGGAACATCCATGCTGGGGGATGCCACAACTCCCCTTGCCTTTGGCTGCCAAGGCCCAATGAGGACACAGCAAAGCTGAAATTATCTCATCTCTGGGTGAAAACCATCAGGGGGAGAACAGGGTGGCTCAGGGATGGGGACAAGGGTCTTGGGGTCCATCACTGGAGTCAAGCACCTGAAAGGTGAAGGGGCCGAATGGCGCAAATGGTCTGTTGTCATGGTAACCACACTCAGGGTTATAAATCCAGAAACTGGGCTCATTTAATCCTTAAAGGGGGCTGAGAGTCATGAGGCATTGCCCTGCAGACCCTGACAGGCTCTGCCTGTGCTTCAACCCTCTGCTCCCACCTCATTCCAGCTGGCAAAGTCACGTTCTGGGAGCTTGCATGCTCTGGGACCCTCACCTGCTGTAGGGCAGGGTGCTGTACAGAGACAGAAATCCTGGGGTTTCACTCTGGGTCTGAAAAAAGGCGAGCAAAGCCCCTGCTGTTCACGGAGCCGGTGTGGGAGGGAGTTACTCCGACCCTGCTCAGACCCAGCCCCTCACACCTCAGCGCGGATCCCCCTCGTTCGCACTCCGGCAGCCGCACCACGCATGCACCGAGGCATCGTCACGGATCTGCAGCATCTCCTGGGTAGAAAATCCAGTTTTCTCCTCTCCACCCCCTCCTCCCGGCTGCGTGCACATCTGGGAGCGCCTTCCCCAAACACATCCGTCACAGGTGCCTTCGGGGCATACGGAACATCTGGAGATCCTCCGGGGGCCGAGCCGAGGGCTCAGGAGCTGCTGCTGGGCACAGCCCCAGCTGGAGCTGCGGGGCTCGGTCCCTCTCCCGGGCCTGCCCTGCCCGGCCCGGCCCTGCTCGGCCGCGGGGCTCCGGATCCCTGTGCGACCCATGGCTCCCAGCGCTTCTCCCCGAGAGTCCTGCAGGGCAGGGGAGCTCTGAGGCGACTCTGAGTTAGCCCTGAACTCTGAGGCTGCTGTGAGGCAGCTCTGAGGTAGCTCTGAGCTCTGAGGCAGCTCTGGGGCACTCTGAGGCAGCTCTGAACTCTGAGGCGCCTCTGAGGGAGCTCCGAGCTCTGAGGCAGCTCTGAGGAAGACAGAGCAGAGAGCAGAGATGCTCCAGCCCCTCCGCTGCCCGGCTCTTGCTCTGGCTGGGTTTTGCTCGGAGCTGCCGTGTGAAAGAGAAGCGGGTTAATGCACCTCTTTCCAATCTGCGTGCGTGCGTGCGTGCAGCTGAGTCCCCTTCTTTTCTTTTATTTTTCAGCCTTTCATTTCCCCTCCCCCTTTTGCTCTCCTATTTCTCCCTCTGAATTAGCTGCCCACCTTTCCCTTACAAATCACACCGACAGCATAGGCTGGGTTTTCAGGGTGGTGTTTCCTGCCCAAAATGGAGAGGTGGGGAGGAGGAGAGATGCCTGAATCCTGCAGCCGCATCCCCGGAGCTCGGGGAGCATCTCCCGGTCGGGCTGAAGAGATGCGGGAAGCAGCATGCTCGGCTTTCCGCACTAGTTAACAGCCTGGAAGCTGCCTCCGCTTGTTTTAGGCTCGCTCGCTTAATCTCAGCTCCCCTCGGCGCGTGTGTGCTTGTGTGTGTGTGTGTGCAGGGGGAGGACTTTATTGCCATTGGCTCAGCTTTCGCTGCCCACCCACATCTCTTCCACATCACCTTGGTGTCTCCCTAAATAAAACCAGCCCTCCTTATCGCGCCGAGGAAATCAAGAGCAAGAGTTTGAATGGATTTTATATAAATATTTACCCCGACGAAGCTACTGCTGAGCTCGTGGGATAAACTCGCAGCAGCTGGTCTCACTCTGCTTCCCTTGCCTGCCTCTGAAAGGGTTTAATTACTTTGGAGAGGAGAGGGGAGAGATCCAGATCCCAGTTCTGGCTCCAGACTGACCCAAAAAGCAGGACCAGGATTTAAATGAACTATGGATCTGAAGGACAGCACCAGCGAGGGCAGCATGGGCAGCCTGCAGCCTTCCAGCATCCAGATTTTTGCCAACACCACCACGCTCCACGGGATCCGTCATGTCTTCGTCTACGGGCCGGTCACCATTCGGCGCCTGCTCTGGACCTTGGCCTTTGTGGGCTCGCTGGGTCTGCTCCTGGTGGAGAGCTCGGACAGGGTGGCTTTTTACTTCTCCTACCAGCATGTGACCAAAGTGGACGAGGTGGTGGCAAACAGCCTGGTGTTTCCTGCTGTCACCATCTGTAACCTCAACGAGTTCCGCTTCTCCCGGCTCACCACCAATGACCTGTACCATGCTGGGGAGCTCCTGGCGCTGCTGGATGTCAACCTGCAGATTCCCAACCCTCACCTGGCTGACCCTGCTGTCTTAGCTGCCCTCCAAGAAAAGGCCAACTTTAAGCAGTATAAACCCAAAGTTTTCAGCATGCAAGAGTTCCTGGCACGGGTTGGCCACGACCTGAAGGATATGATGCTGTACTGCAAGTTCAGGGGCCAGGAGTGCAACCACAAGGACTTCAAAACTGTGAGTATGAGCAGACACTCTGTTTTTCTCTTCTCTGGGCATGTGGACCATGGTGTTGCAGGACCAGGACAGCCCTGGAGGTCCCTGGCCAAGCTCTGTGGGTCTGGTGTGGTAAGACAGTGGCTGCCAGGCTCTGGCATGGCAGAGGAGGAGCAGGAGGAAGCCTGTTGAGCTGAAGTTTGTTTGTTGGAGTCCTAATGGGGGTTTTATGGGGCCAGTCCTGCAAAGGGTTTGTAGCAGGTCCAGCCTCCGTGCTGAGTAAGGCCCACGGCTCGCAGTGTTTGCTCAGGGTCAGATGGATGCTGCTGAACATCACAGGGGGCCTGAGGGTCTCTTGCCATGGCCAGTGGATGTCAGCCAGCTGAAGGAAGCAGAGAGGGCTGGACAGAGCCAACAAGAAGGGCAGGTGCTCGGGGCTGGTCTGAGCGGTTTCCAGCTGTGTCTTTCCAGGTGTTTGCAGCGTTGTTGGAACTCTGGAAGGGGAAATTTTTCTTCTTGTTCCTGGTGTTCATGGCTCATAAATTCTGGTTTGCTGCAGAGTGTGGGTACCAGCTGGGTACCTGCCTGGTGCTGTGTCCTTCCTGTGCTGTGTTAGATGAAAGGAGGGGAAAGAGAAGGAGAGGAAAAGCAACTGAGAGGCTGAGCTCTGATCCCAGTCTGCTCTGAGAGGGGGAGGTGGAGCGAGCCGGGTGCTTGAGCATGCTGAGGGAAGGAGCTGCTCTGAGTTTTCAGCTTCTGGCTGGCACCCTGATGGCAGCGCAGGCTGGCCTGGGTGCTGTGGTGGTAAATGTGTCAGTGTAAAATAAAAATTACCAGGAGGTTGCCTGGCTGAAGTGATGCCCCTCTGTGCCGCCGGGGCAGTGAGGGGACTGGGCAGGGGCTGCAGAGGGGGCTGAGCCCCACCCTGGCTGAGCTGGGGCATGCTGGGCTCCGGGCTGAGTCCCACTGTGCTCTCAGGCCGTGCTGGGCAGTGCCTTGGCTCTGTGATCCTGGAGTCAGCAATGTTACAGGTTTCAGGTGATTATTGCTTGTGAGTTCTGCTGGTTGTTCTGCTAGTTATGGTGTGTCCTGCAGAGAGCAGGTCCTGGGCAGGGTTTGTGATCCCCGGGTTCATCAGCAGAATCTTTGTTTTGTTTTGGAAGAATGGAATGTTTTCTATCTGTGCTGCTTTGGATCTCTGAACAAATGAGTCCAACTGACTCCAGCACCAAAGTCATTGCCATGTCCTGGGCTGTGCTGTCTTTACACCTTGGAGCAAGAACATAGAATTGTACACATAAGTGATTACCTGTGCATATCTCTGATGTGTGTCTATTTCAAACTGGCCATTCAGGCAAACCATTCCCTTGTTTCTGCTCCCTGGGCAGGTCTGAGCACAGGTTGGGTCATCCAAGCTGTAGGAAGGCATCAACCAAGTTCCAAGGAGAGGAGCTTGCTAAAGGGAAGCCACGTATGAGCAGGTCTGGAGAATGGGATAAAAAAGGAGAAACAGATCCAAAAGTCCAGGGGACAAAAGAGTTGGGAAGTGAGGTCAAATCCCTGGAGAATGGATAGACCTCTCTTGACTGTGGCAAAGTGTGGGGAGTGGGAGCTATTCTGCCTGTGGACTTGCCAAGAATGAAATAAGAACTAGCCAAAAGCAAAAACCTCAAAGCCAGGGAGCAACCACACTTTCAAAGCACCTGCGGGGCTTAAAAAGGACGTTGAAAAGCAGAAGACAGGAGCTCTTGGCAGCCCTCCTGGGACCCAGCAGGGTGTCACCCCTAGCTATTGAGTTTTTGAGATAATTGCTTCTGAAACAATGATTTTAATTTTTTTTTTTTCTCATGGGGAATAGTGTAGTTTCCAGAAAGACAAACATTCCCTGTCTGCCAAATAAATGCTCTGCTAAAACAGATCAGGGCAAGCTAGAAAGAGACAAGATATTATGGACTGACAGCACTTGTCCTTGTCAAAGTGAGAGATTGAGTGCAATACTTCAGCCCATTGTGCAAAGCAGCTCCTACCTGAGCCAGAAGACAACGTTGTCTCTCACAGAGGCAGGGCTTCCATCTCCCTGACTCCAGGTAATCCCCCAGGTTATGGAAATCCGGGAAGTAGCACTCAACAGGGACACAACAACCCTGTTTTTCTTCCAGATTTTACCTCTCAGATAAAAGGCAGGGAAAAGTGTCTGTTTGAAGGATGAGTAGGTGTTTCCACAGGGAGAATGCTGTAAAGGTCTGTGAGCTGCCTCCAGGCTGAATCAGAACCTCATGTCCTGGATGAATTTTGCATTTAATCACCACCAACCTGTTGCAGCTGCACACGGGCTCAGTGACAGCACATCCATCCTGCTGCAGCACCCGCTGGAGAGGAGTCATCACTGGAGCCTGATTTGTTTCCTGAAGGGAAGCAGGGTGTAAATCCCAGGGCAGTTCTGCAATATGTCATCAGGGTGAAGAACTACCAGGGTTTTATACACACTGCCCAGATTCTGGCAGCTGGGAGCAGAGGAGGCAGGAGCTGTGCAGCAGAGGCTGCACCAAACAGGAGCTCTGCAATAAGGGGCTGCTGAGGAGTCCGTTCTGTGCTGCCTCTGGCCAGCTCTGCCCTCTGGTGCCTTGGGGGGTTTGTGTGCAGGGTGTCCCTGAATGAAGCCCACAGTGCTGCTGCTGCTGCATGGAGAGCAGGAGTTGAAATGAAAACACTGGACTTTACTCTCCTTCCTCCTCCACTGTCCTGTTTAAATCTCTGACACTGCTTGAATAACAGGACTTGAGTTGTGTTTTCCCTACACTTCCTGTTCCTTCTCCCCCTAATAGCTCCCAGACAGCATTTCCCATGTTAAGGGCTGCTCACTGGTGTTATCATCTTATCGTATTTCATATTTCTCAAGTCCCATACCGAACCAAACTGTTTTTCTCTGCAGCACAGTTCTTCATGTCTTCTCGGGGACTCCTCCTGAGCTCTTGACCCACCCCTTTTTATTCCAGTTACCTTCACAAGCTACAGCTGCTGCCCAACTAAGGACTTTGCAGCTGTAGCTGTGTTTGGAGTAACTAGGACCCAATTATTTAATACATAGATCTTACAATACATAGATCTTAACAGGGACTCTCTCCATAAGGACCCACTTATTTAATACATAGATCTTACAGGGACTCTCTCCATACACTGGAGTGAGTACCCACAGCCTTTTTGCAGAAATGCCCCAAAGGGAACAGCCAGGTCTTAGCAGGATGTGCTGATAGTGCGCTGACATTGCCACACACAGAACAGCAGGGAAGATAATGCAGAGCTCTGCTGTAGGCAAAGCCAGTGAAGAAGAGAGAATTGGCAGAACATGCTTTAGCAAAGCCATTCCCTTGGAGTATGTGGAGGAGGGAAGCCTGAGAGCAGCAGCCGAGGAAATCCCCTCCTTGCTTTCTGCATTGCTCCCCCCAGGAGGTCCTGGTTGGAGCTGACCTCGCAGATGGCATTTCCTGGAGGAGCTGTGCTCCTGCTGCTCCATGTGACATCAGGGTCTTCATCCCACTGCTGCTGAGCCTGGCACAGCTTGGGCTCACCAGCCCTGGCCACGGCGCTGTGATGTTCTGGGAGTGCCTGTGGGTGTGTGCAGCAAAGCCTCTTTCCCAGGGCACTGGGGTGGCTCCTTGCCTTCACTGTTCCAGCCTGGGGTGATGCTGGGCAGTCACAGGGGGCACTGGCAGGAGGATGCTGTGTGGGGCCCAGCAAATGTGGGGGGCAATGGGGAGAAAACCTCTGAAAACCCTTTCAGCCCATGGGGCAAACACGGAGTGAGGGATGGGATGGCCTGGGAGTGGATGCTGGGAATGTGAGCAGCAGAGGAATGGGATCCCTCAGAGCTGAGAAACGCTCCCCAGCAGCACAGCCTGCCCAGCACAGCCTGGCCCTGCCTCTGGGGGCTGCTCTGGGTGTCTGGGGTGGTACCGTTCTGTGGTGGTCTGTGGTGGTCTTCTGGGGTGGTACTGTTCTCTTTGCTAAATGCTGCATTGGGCTGTGCTTCCTCACGTCCAGTCATTCCAGCTAACACAAACTTTTCCCTCGTGCCTGCTCTGCCTCATCAGGTGTCTATTTATTGCCAGTGGCCATGACAATTGAAGGATAGAACTCATTTATTTTCAATACACATTCTTCTGACCGACAGGGTCCACATAATGAAGTGTATCTCATGTGAATATAGCTATTTTAAGGCACAAGTTTCTGTCAATCTATCTGACTTTCTCTATACATATTTTTTTCTGCCCTTCTTTCTAGTATATCTATCAGGCCAATGTTTAGTGAATAGCTTTGGCTTTTTAGACTAACTAGTTCATTCTCATCTGTTATACAATTTTCACTTTATTCAAGAAAAAAAGTCAGGATAGTGCATGCTTGATTCAGAAAAACATTACATTTCTTATTTACCAATTTTTTCTGGAGAGTCACAACTTTTCCCAAAGTTTGCTCCACAGTCTGAGATGCCATAATGAGATCTGCCATTATGAAATGTGCAATAATGAGATGTGCAATTCAGTGATAACTTTTACACAAACAGGCTGTTCTTCCAGTAGGAAATCATGTAGGAAATCCATTCTGCACTGGAATATCTCAATTTTGCAGGTACTGTTGAGGGTCTGGGTGTGGGCACAGGCACAGAGGGAGTGCAGCGTTTTAATTTTGCTGCTGGTGGTGTCTCATTGGGTGTCTAAAAGGAGGTGGATTGCTCCTGGCTCAGGTATCTAGGAAACCCTGCCCTTGGGAAGTGCAGACCCTCATTCCACCCAGTGGTTTACTGGATTGAAATCTCGGTCCTGTAAGGATTTGTGGGTGTGGTAGTTCCTTGTTACACTGATGGGGTCTGTATTTCCTTTATTTATTAAAAAATGGTAGAATAATATTTTATATTTTGCAGAAGTTTCATGGCTAGATGCCAGTTGGGATCAATGCTCATGAAAAACCATTCCTGGGTTGGAATGGTCAATAGTGTTAAAATCTAATGAAAGCTGTGCAGCTTC